AATGGTATGTAATTAGTAAGAAAAGAGTTGGTGTTACATAATAATATATATATAATCACTACTTGAAGTGAGATATGCTAGTCAGGTCAGCCAGTTGGATTCAGAGAGTCATGATTCTGCATGAATACACTGCCAATATTTTACTTAGTTTCCCATAGACTGGCTTATCAGTCTTTTGACCTAATAGTACTGCCAAGTTTCATTTCTCCTACATGTAATATTTGAATACTAGTAGTCAGTCTGCAAAAATTTTCAATGAACACACAACAAATCTTTACTGACAGATAGAACTACTCTTGTACCTGTACTATTGCACATGATAACAACAGAATGTCTCACCTTGTCACACCTGTACTCGCCGAACTTGACCCCTCGTACCACCTGCTGGTAGATGAGGTTGGTGGCCACCCTGTCCTCGGTGGGGTCGTGCCAGGGCGCGAAGATCTCCTTGCGGAAGAAGAGTCTCCAGGGAGCGTTCCTCTCCTGCGCGCCCTGTTCCTTGGCGTACTGCTCGCACTGAGAGATGGCGTCCATCACGTGGTCGCTACCACTACCCAGTGACGAAACCTGGAAACAAAGAATGTCAAAGTTACACGTAGATCTGAAGTTGTGATCTAGTAAAATTTTTGGGGTCTAATAAAAAAACTTTTTCAGGTCTAGTAAAATTTTTTTGGGGTCTAGTAAAAAAAGTTTTTCAGGTCTAGTAAAAATTTTGGGGTCTAGTAAAAAAAGTTTTTCAGGTCTAGTAAAAAAGTTTTTCAGGTCTATTAAAAGACTTTTTGGGGTCTAGTAAAAAAAAGTTTTTCCATTTTCTTTTCATCACTAATCACACTGATTGTACTTAGCCAATGGAAAACCTTTGCATTGTATGTTTTGCAACGTAGCATGTATCTTTTAAGAAAACAGCTTTCAAATTCACATCATTAGCACTGGACACAAAAATAGCTGCATACCTTATCAAAGAGGGCGATGTACAATGAGAACCCAAACTGGTCTGACAGCCCAATTTTCTCCGACAGCATCTGACAGAGTTCCCGCGCCGTGGTGGCGGAATCTGCCAGGAGGGTTTTGGTCGTACCATCCATGAACGTGATTGGCAACATCAGGGGCTTCTTGGACTTTGTGGCCTGCGATAAGAAAACAGTGAAATCTTTAAGAAGGAAAAAATGTGAAATAGTACATTGCAAATGTGTCTAATAATATTGAGGCAGACTTACAATGTGTAGAAATCTTAACACTGTAATGTACAAATAGGTTTGGAAAGGAAGTCAAAACAGCATTTGTAACAATTGCCTATATACCCTAGTCAGTTGCTGAATAAAACCACCGAGTGAGCGTAGCGAATTTTATGATAGTACAATATAAACCTGACCTGTAGCTCCAGCCAGCTGGGCGGCTGGTTCCTGGTGCCGTTAACAAACGTTCTCTTCATCCTCTCCTCACAGTACGGAGCGTAGCCAGGCGGGCCTTCCTTAATGAAGCACTGAAGATACTTCACAAACTGGGAAGATGAAGAGTTTACAATTACTGTCATGTAACGTTTAGATACTTAATTTTGGTACAATGTTTGGTAATGTTCAGATTTGATACAATTGCTCGGTTCAAGCAATTTGATTGATGAAGATTTAAAAAGTGAATTGACTCCATCTAAGCTAACAATATCGTTTCTGCAAAAACACTTTGAAAATAAAAGTAACAGTTTTGTTTTGACCAGGAACTGAAGACAACCGTTTCCACAGTATTAAATCTACGTAAAAATAAATGCATTTATATATCTGTTACTGTTCGTGTAATGTTTTAGATACTTCAGTACAAATAATCATATTTACAAAGTAGGCAATTATTAGGCAAAAACAATTAACAAATTAATTACTGTACCTTCTCTGATGGAGCGAAGCAGCCGATACAGAGAGACAGAAGGATCCAGCCGCGGGCGTGACTACTCTTGGAGGGGTTCTGGGTCAGCTGTTTACAGATCTGACAGTAGATCTCATCTCTGTGGGAACAACAACATGGCATAAATAAACAAACATAAACAAACATACCTGTCAAGTAACTAACAAACAGGATCTGCCAAGCACAGTACCTTTCTGTCAGTGAATAACATAGTTGTGAAATAGGAAAACCATGTTAAACTGATAAAGTGTATAACCAATACAGTTGGAGATATTCTTTTTTCAACTGGAGATGGCTACGTTACCTAAAATCAGTCCAGAGCACATGTACAAAAAAATAACCCTAAATCTTATGCTGATGTTCCTAATATACTTAATCTATAGTAACCTTAACAACTTTAACAATGTCACAAAATTATGTCACAGATATTAGACCATAACAGGTGAAATTTCAAGAGAGAAAAATAGAAAAAAATACTACTTTAAAGATTTAGCAACCTCTTGAAGAAGCGTCATTCCCCACGATGTTTTGAAATTTATTACGCACGACGGAAATACAAGGTGCCCTAAACAAATTGATGTACCGTGAGTATTCATCGTAAAACTATCAGTTATAACAAAACATGACAAGCAGTATGGTATCACACAATGGGAGGTTATATTAATTATGCATAAGACCTACAGTGATATGGCTATCTATCACTGAACCAAACATCGAAATGACGTCAGAAATGTACTAGGGAGATGAAACAATGCATTCTAATGCTGTTAATTGGTTAATGAAAATACAGATTTCCTAGAGAAATTTGTATTGTTTTGTTTTGTTTTGTTTCCTGTTTCAGTCCCGAAAAAATCAGGGTCGGTAGGTAGGGATTTTTTTTTTTTCTAGACTTCAGTGATATCTATATAGGGGTCCAACTTATACAATACAGTTTAACAAAGCAAAAGTTGCATGAGGACACTTTCATTTTCAATGTCCATGTTGGAAAACCGATTGTACAATGTTTCATCACTCAGATGTCAGATCATGGAGCTAGAAAAGGTTGATCAGCTCGTCTCCTGCAGGGGTCCACCCCAAAAAACTCTAGTGTCTGCAGGTTTTTCTAGGGTCCATCGGGAAACAGGAAACACCACATTTTTTCCCTAAGCCTTCTTAGCATTTCTGTACTTGCCTGAGGTTGGGCCGGAGGATGCCATGCCCGATGATGAAGTGTAGTTTCTCCAGGTTGGAGGTGGGGCGGTCCTCCAGCATGCTGTTACTGTACGCTGCCACGTCACCCTCAGCCAGCCGGTCACGCACCTCGTCTGTGATCTTAGACTTCTTCTTCAAGGTCATGGACACCAGCTTCTTCTTCACACTTCCCTTCTTGTACCTGGGAAATGGGGAGGAAAAATAATGAGATCTGCTAGATACATGTATAAGATCCTGTCAAAATACATCCTAATGTAGACCAAATGTGTCTACATTTAAGTTCATGGTCAAGTTCAACTTCATGGTCCCACCTGTCAGGAACGTTAGGGTCGATGCCCATCTGAATGTCCTGTAGTTCCTTCTTGTACAGTCCTGACTTCTTCCCCAGAGTCTCGTAGATCTTGGTCATGACCGGGGTGTTGTCCTGGGCCTCCGAGTTGGACGTCATCCACTTGGGCTCGGGCAGATCTCCCATGAACCTCAGGATGGTGATCCACACTGCTAGGGCAGCCTAAACAACAACAAAACAAATTTCTTACATCAAAACACATTCAATACATATACAATTAGCATTGAGGCATTTAGACTCCTGTCACCATATACATGTAGTATTACAATATATGGTGACAGGAGTCTAAATGCCTCCTGCTATAAAATTGCAACATGATGTAACCCAATATCAGTTACCATGGTAACAGACATCTGGTTCAGGTCATTGACCCTATTTGTTTGGAGAAGAAGAGGAAGAAGAGGAAACTGAGCAAAAACAATATGTTTTCCTTTGGTAAATATAAACTTTAAGATGTTTGAATCGACCAATGACGTACCAGCATGTCTCCCTCATTGTCGTGTGGGAGGAGCGGTGCCTTGAGCGGCCGGCGTACGTAAGAGTGCGTGGTGCTCCCCTGGAAGTACGTAGCAGCGTATTTGGAGAACTTGTACTCTGAGATGTCCTCTTCATCCTTGGGTACAGGCAGGTGCATGGTGTCGTCTACCTCTTCTTTCTTCAGATCTCTCGTTCTCTTTTCTTCCAGGTCCTTTCGTAAGAATTATGAAGGGAACAATTTTCAATTGGAGGATTTCAACAACATGTTAATCATGATCATAGCTAAACGCAGTTTCAGTAAAAATACACCATATACAAGTAAAGGATAATTATTGTTGCTTATTCATAGCAACTGCTAGTTCATTAGGAAAACATGGGATCATCAGGACAGGCAATAACCCAATTTAAGTTATTATATTGTTAAGTAACATTGAGTTTTAACTTTAGCTTCAATCAGAATTTCTATATTGAACATTACTTAATTTTTCACAATACTGGCAAAAAATATCTGTTATAATTGATATTTAATACTGTACACTTTCACCTGCTAACTTTGTAAGGATGGTTCACTTTTAATTGAATAGAAATAAATCATAGAAAAAAAAAATAAGTACAATCATTTTTCTTGTATTTACCCTGAATGCGGTTGGGGCAGGGCCTGACTCTGCGTTTGTTTCCGGCAGGAAGTTGAAGACTTCGTCCACCATCTGTGAGTCGTCCACGGGATGGTCCTTCCTCTTCTCCGCATTCTCTATCATGTCCTTCTTCTTCGCCATCTCATACTTCTTCTGACGTTCATTTTCAAGGCTTTCATACTCCATCTGCCTCAGGCGTTGCTGTGGGGAGGGGGGCATTAATGTAGAAAATTACATCTTCTAAAGAAAAAATTAGCAAAGAAAGGTTGCTAAAGGGTATCAAGCACTGTACATTCTACAAAAATTACATCTTCTAAAAAAATATAGAAAAAAAAACTTGCGGTACGATATCAAGCACTGCACAGTCTATTTTTAAAAAGATATAGCAAAAAAAGGTTGCAGTATCAAGCACTGTACATTCTACAGAAATTACATCTTCCAAAAAAATATAGCAAAAAAAAACTTGCAGTATCAAGCACTGTACATTCTTACTACCACGAGATATGAAGCTGACTTCACTGGAAGAAGAGAGGGACGTGAACCAGACGGAATTTCTCTTTTTAATATTCATAATGGGATGCAAAAACAGATTTTTTTCAGGTACATCTATACCTTAGAGAAATGCCAAAGTGTAGTCACAAAGGGAAAGTATTAATAATTCATAAAACCACACTTCCAGGTGATCATAAATTCTGGAAAGCCTTCACCGCTACATGAAAGCGTACTCCATTATCTTCCTCTTAAATGAGGATCTCAAGTGTAAATTTGGAAACAATTGCTGAAACCAACATCAATTATAATATGAAAAAATTAATAGAAATATCACAAACATTAACAAACAACCCATTGCATAATAAATAAACATTTACAAACTGACTATAACTGAAGTTTTTGTTTTGAGAGACCTTCAGATGATGATTCTGTAAAAGCAACACATCACACATATTATGAACTGTTAGAAACAAACTGTTGAGAGCAAATACTGTAAATTGTGAAATTTTTGCAGCTGTATTTTCAAGTTTGTGGTTTTCAATGTGAACCCAATGCCTTCCTGTGTTACTATAATGGTTGTTTAACTGTGATTTTCACTGATTTTAAGTTCCACAAACTTTGATGAAGCTTCTGAATCAGTGTTCTGTATTATTGCAGAATGTCAAAATTTTGTTCTGCAAGTTGAAAATACTTTCTGCAAATACACAATCTTTTCAGCTTAGTAGAAGTTTTTCTATAGCAATAACAGTAAGAAAAGTACTAAACTTTTGCCCCTAGAAACTGCGCTATCTGGGTTTAGAAGCAATATACCGTATATTGTTTGTGCATTTTAAGTTCCACAAAATTTATAATGTTGATGAAGCTACAGTAGTACATGTACCTGGTGACGTTTCTCTGCCTCCTCTTTGGCTTTCTTTGCGCCCATCTGTTGTCGGAGACGTGCCTCCTCCTCCAACCTCAGTCGCTCAGCCTCCATACGACGCTTGTTCTGTAGAACAACAAAAAAAATCACTGTAAACGAAATTCATCAGGACCAGGTTCAATCCACTCTATTTTTCACCAGAAAGAGACAGTCGAAACTTGATTGTTACTTGACTACATTGCACTTCCCTAAAAATACCCAAGATACAGAAGAAGTGGGGGTAAGATTGTGCAAAAGCCGTAATTATTTTAAGGGTCCTGAACCAAATGTACACCAAACACCAGGGCATGGACCTATAATTGATTATGATTCTTACAGTCATTTTTGTCTGTCACACTCATATCTATTGCCATTTGAAACTTTGGTGCATGAAAACAGACAATAAAAATTTAATATAATGTTTAATATAATGTTTGGAAAAATTAGGTACTTACTAGTAATACTACTCCAGTGTTCTCACCAGGATTTTTTCACAGCATAGGGGGCCAGGTTGTGGGCCAAGCTGCACATCGAGCGCCGAAGGCGCGAGGGCGAGCGCCACAGGCGCGAGTAATGTAGGGGGGTCCGGGGGCATCCTCCCCCGGAAAATTTTGAAATATATAACCCTCTGAAACACCATTTCCTGCATTTTGAGGGTCAAATTTTGAAAAAGTTTTCACCTTTGTTACAGCTTTTTTTTAAGCCAAAATTTATTTCCAAATTCATGAAGGGTCATAATAAATGGAGTTACTTATGCTTGGTATAGGTCTTTGGCAAAATACTTTTTTTTTATATTGTACAACTAAATATTTAGGAATCATTTTGACATGATTATAAATCTGTTATGCATGTTTCAATGTTTCAAAAAGGAAACTACAGGAGTACACTTGTATCATGTTTTAGAATTTGTTCTGATATTTTAACTTTGCGACACAGTCAAAATTGGCCCAAGCCTCGGCATAGTTCAAAGGGTTTCTTTCATCTGTCAACACAACATCGGCAGTCAGCAAGAGGTTCTTTGGTAAATACGCTGTGATTCCCCATGTCATTGGTAAATTATATTGGTAAAATGGTAGAATTACTTGATAATGAGCTATATTACCGACGAAGTCAAGAACATTTTGAGGGAAAACACAGTAAAAAGCGGCTTCCGTCCAGCTGTGTCAATTTCTAACGTGTTGCGTGCGAGCCATCTTGGAAGAGTCTATTCTGTAAGCAGGGGGAAAGTTTCTTGGAAACAGTTCAAGCCCTTGTCAAATTATAAGAAATACGATATTTTGCAGGAACAACATGGCATAATTATATTTTAATGCTTAGATTTTGAATTTAAAATCTAATTGACAGATGTTGAAAGGTAGACAACATTACAGTTGAGACATCGTGCTCCCTTGAAATGAACTTATCTAAAGCATGCCGCCCATGGCCGAGCAATGTCCTGTTGGCGCTGTCTGTTTGATTTTTCGGTAAATTTCTCCATGCAAGACGATCCAGCCAAAAAAATGGACATGTTTGGACAACAATAAAGGATGTATGCTGTTGAGTGGCGTACATAATGGCACCCAGGTTTCTGGAATTAGAGCTTTATTTACGCCCGTCATGTTCCCGGCAAGCATGAGGGGAGGGCAGGTACTTCAAGTTCTCGTTTCGGTACTTGTTTACCTCACAAAATGTGGGTATTTCTGCTAGTTTTAGGTGTAATTGATAAGAAATCTCAAAGACTAGGTACTGATGTAAGTGATAATGTTTGTTTCCGAGCACTGAGCTTCGTACGTACAGGCAAAACTTAGCGAGCCGGCCGCTCTCGAGCCGCTCCTCGGCCTGAATGTCACGCCCCTATGTCACGCCCGTCTATCGCCGCCAATTTGTGGGGTTTGATTAATTAACTCACAGCAGGTTGTGAATCACTTCTTTGTCACTTGAAACTGCCTTCTATGAGATGCTCATTGTGCCGAGAGCAAAGACATTATTTTATCAAGTTTAAAGCAAGGATTATTACGACGGTAGCCGAGATCAAAAGGGTAAACATGAAAATCCCGCTACGCTGGTCGGAAACACAGCATAGCGGCAAAATTACAGCGTAGCGGAACAAATTCACAGCATAGCGGCCCGCTATGCTCAAAAGGCCTGGCGAGAACACTGCTACTCAATGTACAAATGTATCATGCACAAAGTTTACATTCTAGTGAAAAGATGACATTTAGCTACATGTAGGCTGGAAGTCTCACCTCGATTTTCAGCTTCTGGTACTGTTTGCGCGCGATGTATCCGCGGAAGCCTGACTGGATCTTGACGATGCTGTGCATCCGCTTGGAGAAGTCCTTCCTCGCCGTGTAGCCTCGGCAGCGGGCCTGGAATCCCACGATCCTCTTGCGCAGGAAGTTGTAGTGGTACGACAGGATGCGCGCTCGGAACAGAGCCTGCAGACGGGCGTATCCAATCTTCATCTGTGGAAAGAAACAAAAGTTTTAAATTACATTATTATTTGGTGTGATTGCACAATAACTATAATTAGATTTAAAACATTTATACCAAGGTTTGAGATTTTTAAAAATGTGGGAGTTTTCACAAGAACAAAAGGACAAAGCATCATACTATTAGGCAAACATCAAAGAACAAACTAATTTATACAATTTTTACAGTATGTCAGATATATCTAGTTAAAGACTCCTCCATATCGTTGATGAAGGTCAGACATTCAGGTATGAATTTAACAGCAATACTCAAAGACAATTCAAACTCTATTCAGACTATTCCTGGATTAATTACAGACGATAACTTCCATAAGTTAAAAAGATGAGTCATGTATGTCACTTGAAACGTTCAGTAGTAATGTCCATAATTAATCTAGTTACTGTAGAAGAGTTTGAATTGTCTTTGTGTACACTTGAAGAAGCCACACAGGCAAAACCGGTCGTGTGACAGGCTGAATAAAAGCTCAAAACAGAAACTACGCTGCTCCAGATGTTTTACTGAGGGACGACTGTGTGTGACAGATGTCGATTAGCTTGAGGAATGAATCCCCTCTACAATATACGAGGGCCTGCAAGCCCTTTTTCGTAAGGCGTAATCAGGCCGTTTTAGACTTCGTAATTCGTAGGCAGCCTCCGCAAAAATCAATGTAATTCGTAATTGGACATTAGCCGCAAATCGTAAAGTCGTAATCAGCTCTGAAACTTTAACGTAATTCGTAATAGGCGGCGAAAATTTTGCGTAATTCGTAATCACTACCCCCCTTGCAGGCCCTCATATACTCCTCAGTATGGTAGTAACTCACAGCATGGTATCTCTTCCTCTCCCTGTGTCCCCTCCAGGCTGTCTGGATCTTAAGTGCCCCTGACTTCATCTTGAGGAAGCGTCTGCGGTAGAACCATCCTCGCACCATCTTCTGGATCAGGACCACCCGCCGAGTCAGAGCGTGGTCACGTTCTATCTCCAGCATGGCATCGTGCTCATCCTGTCATCGTGTTTGGTACAAGAAAAAAGGTAAACATTTCCCTAATCTAGATGATTCACAATCTTATACTAAAAACTTAAGGTAACATTTGCAAAGCAAATGCATAATGTTTACTTCCACATATGGTCTGTTCTGTTAATTCTTACTCAAACACATTCATACAGTACATGTATGGTGACAGAAGTCTAAATCCCTCCTGCCATAAAATTGCAACATGATGTAACCCAACACTAGTTGCCATGGTGATAGACGTCTGGTTCAGGTCATTGACCTTATTTGTGTAGAGAAGAAGAAGAAGATAAAAGAAGAGGAAGAAACCAAGCAAAAACAATGTTTTCCTTCAGTAAACATAATTACTGTAATAAAATATAATTTTGTATACTGTGTAAGAATTGGACTGAATCTACTAAATCTCTTAACAATTCATGCAGTACACTTTGAAAAAGGGCACTCACCTTCAGGAAGATTTTTGTCTTGCCGATTTGCCAGTCGGCATCTCCTAGGATGGCCTTGGCGATATTTTGCGACGCAGTCTTGCACTCGGTCTTGTGGGAGGGGCCCACGCCGTTGACCAGGATACGGTAGCGGTCTACGAACTGTGCGAAGGTGTGTCGGATGGGGTAGCCCATGCGCCGGATACGGATGGTCTCCATCATGCCTGAGTAACGCAGCTGGCGCACACACAGCTCACGATCAAACATCTGTCGTTTACAAAAACAGAAAAACAGATCATTAGTCCATTTTAGTCTCTTAACATAGATAAAACGAACTTCATTATCTTCACAGGTAGAAATAAGAAATACGACAAAGAAAGGGCTATGATATACATAGACAATAAACTAATCAAACAGGTATGTAACACACGATTTCTAGGAGTCCTTATTGATGAGAAGCTCACATGGAAGTTCCATATTGACCTTATTTGTAAACAAATCTATAAGAATATTGGTATTATAAGAAAAGTTGCAAGTTGCCTGTCTCGTAAAATATTTATCACTCTGTACTATACTTTGATTTATCCCTACTTAACATATTGTAATATAGTCTGGGCTAGTACGTACACTACTTCAATCCGTCCGCTGCATCAGCTGCAGAAGCGCTTTGTTAGGATCGCGTCTATGTTCCATTTTTTGCTAACTCTGCGGTTCTATTTTACAACTTGAAAATTTTAACAGTGTATGACATTAATAAACTCCAAACAGCAATTTTTGTCCATAGAGTTTTACATAAAAGTTCACAATTACCAGTTCAATTTCAGGACATATTTCAATACAACTCAGATATCCACAGTTACAGTACTAGAAAGCAAAATGATTTAAGGCCAATCCTGACAAAGTCAAATATGAAACAGTTCACGATAATGTTTAGAGGCCCCTTAATTTGGAACAGTTTAAGTCACTCACAGCAAAATTGTCAATCCCTTCCAACTTTCAAAAGACATTTAAAAACTGACCTGATAGAGAAGCCAACTACCACTTCCTGATTTGCTTTTGTTTTCCTTGTTTTCTTATGCTATGATATTTTCTTTGTGTTAATATTGGTTTCTTATGTTGTTCTTACTCATAACAACTTATGATTTGACTAATGGAAATTTATTTTTTTGTTCAATATGATTTGTTCTTGATTGTCTTACTTCATTGATTAGATATTCAATTCGCCGTGTTAACTTTATATTATCTTGTACCTATTTTGAGTTAATTTGTTTGCTTGTCCCTTAATACATTGCAAGTTAAATGTAAATGCAATAAATGTATGTAAATATGAGATCGTAAAATTAATAGGATTTGGGAGAGTCCACTAGACAAACCTTCAGGTTTCTTGGGCTCTCCAGCATATAGTTGCTTGTATATAATTTCATTTTATACTGTTACTTTTTTATGTGCAAACTGACAATAAACAATAAACAATAATAAACATTTTCTTGGTTCTCTGACATTTTAATTCTAGCAAGAGAATGTAATAAAAACAGAAGACTGGGAGCATTACTTCAAACTGAGTCAACCTTCAATCAACTGTGACAGGGGCCAACATCATCTAAAATTGGTTCTTTTTGAAAATAAGGGCCGTCATGTCTAGGGTTGAAGCAGCTTAACTCCAGTTAAGTGTATGACTACATTTTGAGTATTCTGCAACAAAACATAAAAGGTCAAACTTGGGAAAATTTAAAGTTATGATCATATATTTCGCAGTTAGTAAAAGAAATTACTTACACTAGGTTTCTTGAACTCGTTGGGTTTGATACACCGTACAAAGAACGGCTGGCAGGCACCCAGAGTCCTCATCAACAGGTCCAGAGACTTCTTGAACTGGGCTCCCAGTGTCGGAGACTTCTTTCTCGTCTCTGTGCCCTGATGAACAAAAACAAGTACATGTATGAGTAATACAGACCCGTACTGACTGTCAATCACAATTAGCAGTTCAACCAATAACAGCAGGCAATTTAGCAATTTGACCAATGAGAAAGTCGCTCCAAAAGAGCAACATATTTCAATTATATATTCCATTGTGTAAACCATATATATTTGTAAAATCCATAACCAAGTTTTGCAAGATGATGAAAGAGGAAATCTTTATTACTAAGAATGTAATATGATTTATCATTACCATAACAATGTCCTTTTGGAACAAGCCCTTGAGGAATTTGTTGTTGGATGTTTGAACCAAGTCCAGCAGGTCGGCGTGGAACCTGTCTCTGTTCTTCTCCAGAAAACCTGCAAAAAACAGACAAGGTTTAGCAGGGAATGTTATATCTAATATACATGTTGCACCTTACAGAGTCAATGTGCAAAATAATTAATGATCTTGAACCACTTTAGGTCGTTGAAGTGAGATTATCTTCCACTGGTCGTAACAAGAAAGACAGACCCTATGTTCAGTATATATAGGTTGGGAAATTCCCCTATCTCTTTTCGACAAACGCAAGGAACAGTGGACCTCCACTTAATGTCCTGTCCTAAGGACTGCAACCCTTTCCAGTACTGTACATGTACTTAGCCGATTTAGCATGCAAGTCTGGTGAGCGACAACAGCCAGGATTCACACTCAAGTCCAGAGCCAGAGACCCACGATACACATGTACAGACTCTGTTACAATCAGTGACACACATTTTACTTGAAATGACATGAAACTTGAAATGTCATGTAAAAATTGTACCTCTGGTATCGTAGTACACATCTCCAGCAAAGTGGACGACACCAAAGTGGACGTTGATGTCCGACTTGGCCTGGATGAACTGGGCATTGCGGCCGTGCTGCTTGTGTAGCTTCTGCAGCATGGTCTTGTCTGAGCCCTGGTGAGGGAAGAGGGGAGATGAGCATTAAATTTGTCAGCAAATAAGTAAGAATCTGGCCAGTGAAGTTGCTGAAACTCTAACCCTGCCCAAGAACCACAGGACAGAGGCAAATGGCGAGCTACCATCAAGCCCCTACCATCAAACCCTCAGAACACAGGGAACAACAGATGTTAAAACAGAGAGAGAGAGAGAGAGAGGGAGAAAGAGAGAGAGAAAAATAAATAAACAGCTTGAATCTGCACTTGCCAACACAAGGAATTTGACTGTACAAAACCAATCTTTACCAGGCAACAAATTGGTGTCATACACTTCATGATGAAATTCTTACAAGACTGTCTTTTTGACGATTGCAATATGATGTACAACAGTTAATGGTTGATATAAAATTTCCGTAACTAACCTGTTAACCTCAGTTTTATCTGAAGATTATGAAGAGAGACAACATGGACTTTCTTACAAATTTGACCAAAGAAAATGCAAAACAACAGGGAAGAACATTGTATACACGCAGGTGAAAAATGTTGCTCAGGTATTTGACAGAATCCTTGCTGGTCTAATTTTTTTATAATCATACCTTGGGGAAGCGGCTCTCTTCATCGATGAGAGCGATGATGTTCATGGGTTTGACAGCGATCATGTCCAGACACTCCTGGTTATCCACAAACTCTATGTGCTGCCAGCTGATGTGCTCTGCATCATACTCAGCCTGGAGGGAAACAACAGCACAAGTTAAAATCAAAGACAGAAACTAGCAACAACAACTACATGTAGCTGCAGTGTGAAGTACACGTAGTACAAAAATACAATCATTATGTATCTCTCAGTGTTACCCTGAGGAAGGTGACAGATGGTCACTGAAATGTCAGTTGGTGTTAACGCTTGGTTGTGTATAAAGAATACTGTGAACATCTGATAAAGTAACCTGTATTGTACCATAACATGTTGTTGTTGTAACCGTAACATATCTGTCTGAGTACAGGTCAATGGTTACACAGTCAAACACAGAAAAAAGTTACAGATACAAAAATGTACATGTAGTAACAGCACATTGTGTAATCTATTACAAGTTCAGATTCTTCTTGCTTCTTTGTAAAGTTGAAGACAATTTTATAATCCTAAGATTACCTGTTCCAGCTTGAAGATGTGTCTCACAAAGAACTGTTGCAGGTTCTCGTTGGCAAAGTTGATGCACAGCTGCTCAAAGCTGAACGAAACATTTGAAGAAATTAGCCATTGTTTTATCAAGGATCACAGTCAACATTTATCCTAGTAGTCAGTTATTTCCTGCAGACAAAACCTGCTAGTGTCTGAATGACATAGTTAGAAACCTGACATTTCTAAGGCATAGTTGTGTGAGCAACTGGTTGTTGTTGTTTTGTTTTTTTGTGTTTCACATAACCGGTAAATTGCCTTTAGGCCTAACACACCAGATTTGTACAGTAAGTAAAAGCTGCATAAGACTGAATGGTAGGGTTTTAACCACTTGTGCCGTGATGAACCTCTAGGCCACTGCTTTCTATAATAATGATTTTATTATTTTTCTGACAATCAGATGTTAAGATTTTGTTGTACAGTTGTATACTACTATAACTTATATTATTGTAAACCTACGAAAATATTTGGGTGCACTGGTGCACCCACAGAAAAAAATTGGGTGCACAGCTCCAAATTTGGGTGCACCACCCAGTATTTCGAGCCCTGAGTGAGGAAATGTTTACCTGTTGGTTCCGAAGTTTTCGAACCCAAAGATGTCGAGTACGCCGATGGACAGGCGGACGTGTTTGGGGTTCTCCAGCGGCTGGTAGATGGCGTTGTTGATCTTGTCCACGAGCCAGACGAACATGCGGCCGTACGTGCCCTTACAGAAGGCGTCGCGTACGTCGCTGGCCTGGTCAGCGTTGAGCGGGGAAGTGACACTCTCACCCCGGGTGATGAGGGTGTGCGTGGTGAGGGCATTCAGCAGGTCCTCTTCATTCAACTGTCATGCAAAAGGGTACATTTTGTTGTTTGAGGGTTTACATTGCTTGGGCTTAGGAAAAAAATATTACAGCTTAGAGGTACATATCCAATCTTTGTGAAAATCTTCTCGGATCATAATGACCCCCAGTGGGGGTCTTCTTGCTTAGTTGAAAATGGAAAAATCTCAAGATTTGTTCCAAAGACCTCAATATTTTTTGCTATATCTTGAGATCTTATGAAACAATATTGAGATTTTTCATGACAATCTCAAGATCTTTCCTAAAATCTTAAGATGAAAAAGAAAAGATCTCAAACTAACCTCCATGAGTTTGGCAGAATCGGACAGGCCGGTGGCATCCACCAACTCACAGGCATCCAGGTTATCTATGGACGAACCTATGGACATAACAGGTACAATAGTTAATGTTGAAGTGGTACAGTAACTATAATATAACAGCAGGGGCTAGATAATGGTTACTCATTGTCCCAAAAATTGCCCCAAAGTCACTTTTTAGTTGTCCCAGCCTAAATTTTAGTGGTCAGTGGCCATCGGGACAATGGTAATTTCAAGCCCTGGGTTGAATGAAATAAGATCTTACTTTCAAACTGCAGGTTGCCGAGATGCAGGATGGAGGACAGCAGCTTGTACAGTTCCCACTGCTCTGCGTCAGAGATCATCAGCACCTTCATGGCCGACCGGATCGCTGCGAAGTCTGTCACGTCATCTCGACCATCAGCAACAAGGCAGTCACCCTGAAAACATTCACAGCAACGTTGGTATATGAAGAATGTATTGTTTTGCATTTTGTACAATGGCATTACATTAAGAGTTTGATGCAGTTATCATGGTCTGATTATGATAATATTCATGTTGACCTTCCCAGAAGGAAAACATATTGTTTTTGCTCTGTTTCTTCTTCCATTCCAAACACACTTGACACCCAATGACCTTGACCAAATGTCTGTCACCGTGGTAACTGGTGCTGTAGCAGATAGTCTGTGGTGTTGGTTTACATTGTATTGAAAGTGGCACGACATAGTTGAACTAGCATCACCATATATATGTGTTTGAAGATGACAAACAGAACAGTAGTTTGTTAGGCTACACCATGTGAAAGTTAACATCATGCATTGACTTTGCAAATGTAGCACCTTTCTAGTTTCTATTTATGCTAAATATAAATACTAACACCAGGTTCTTGGATGGACACTTTAAAAACCATGCTGGAACAGATGTTTTCTCACCATTGTCAGATAGGCGTAGTCCTGAGGCTTGGTTAAGTGCAGTCTTCTCTTGTCATCAGCCGGCAGCCCTGCCAGCATGCAGTAGAAGATGTGATAGTTCCGCTCTTCAGTTTGCTGGGAACGAGTTAATAAGTCACAAGAAGAGTCAGAAAAACATGTGTATAGCATAGTAAGACTTTATGTCAACAATTTGAAATTTTCTAAAAATGCCATGCTACAAAGTATTACTAGAAGACACCTCAAGGATGATCAGTAAGTCCATTATATTTGTTTTTTTTTTAAAACTATTCTTAGTAAACAAACCTGGTAACAAAGCCTGGATTTCTCCAACAGGTACTGTTCTATCTTGGCCCCCTCTATTGCACCGTTCTGGTTGAAGTGGATGTCAATGTACTTCCCAAACCGACTGGAGTTGTCATTCCGGATGGTTTTGGCATTTCCAAACGCTATGGAAGGAAACATACATGTATGCAAGGAAGGAAGTTTGGTGACGGAAAAAGTCGGTGGAAAAGAATTTATATATTCATGGTGGAAGTATTGGAAAGGGGGCAAAGAAAACAATTCTTAAAAGAGAGTTGACTCAGTATTTTCGTCAGGGTTTTGCTCAGTGCACTCTCCAATCGGAAGTTTGGTTTTGGGGCTATTTTTGGGTGTTTTTAGGCTTTTTTATTGGGGTTTCTTTTTTTCACTGGAATTTCTTTTACACCCAAAAATGACCCAAACTTCTGCTTAGAGAGTACTTCCTCACATCATTGTGGAATCTTGTTGCAAGCGATAGGCAAAAATAATGGCAATTCTGTAACCTTGACAGACAAAATTGTATCTGACATTAAAAATGTTCCAACTTTGGACAGGTCACTCCAAGATTGTTAGAAGAGATCTATGACTGGGAAAACCCTGAGTGTCAAGAAAGAAAGGAGTAGAAATGGAGGGGAGACCTGGTTGGTGAGGGTGCCATGATCTCTACAGGACAGACAGAACACACACTAGCTGAAATCAAGGGAATATAAGCAATTAAAGATGGCCTCAAGAATATAAGCAAAGTATCTTAGAAAGACAGTTCAAGGAAATATTTGAAACGGCAACAAAAATATACAAGATAATCTTGAAGGACAAATTCATCTGGCAACAGCTTATCATCCAATGTGCATACTGACAATCAGGAGTTAATATGCTTCACATTTTCTTACAAAATCCACACATTTACATACAATTTGGAAAGACGAATAAGCAGAGGTTCACAGTTTGAATGTGCAATACAAATGTGCAATAACGCATTGTTTGTAATACTGTACATTGTATGTCAAAATAAAAGGTCCCTGGGAGATAAAGAGGACACATCTGGACATGGTATCAAGCATGGTCTACACATGGTCTGTTTACAAGTTAGGGGCCTTAACGTTTGATGTCACCCATGCAGTTCAAAACCGGCATTACAATCTATAAGTGTCTGGGGTCATGTGGCGTCACCACGTCTGGTGATTACATGTTGGAATAGAAAAAAAAATCTATGAGTGCATGTAATCCTAGGCACCCACACAGTACCTTCCATGACAGGATTGGCCTCCAGAATCTGCTGTTCTATCCAGGAGTGTTGTCCACTGATGGCTGCCAGGAACTGTAGGATGAGTTTGGTGCTCTCTGTTTTCCCTGCCCCACTTTCTCCACTACATAACAGTACATTTTCACATGGCCATGAAATACGGATCATAAGGAGTACAGAAAGGTGGATGTTTGACATAAATAATGATTCTATAAGCAGTGAGAGCTTTAAATGTGATAAGGTGTGGCATGGCCTTGGTGCTGATTTCTTGGTGGTTGTTCTCCAGTGGAATTCCATTCAGATACTAGTATTGGCTGAAATCTAAGTGGGTAAGATTATGTTTCCTGGTAGATTTGGCCTCTCTCAGCAGCCTACAAAACATAGTAGGGTCAAATCTTAATGATTTTGTCATAGATATAAATTATGATGCTTATACACCTCAAACAATTAGTCATAAGTTTAAGTTCACTGCAAAGACCAAAATGATACGGTTTGGTCAAGTAACAGCAAAACTGAACACAATGAATCATGAGAATTCTATTATACAAAGACTCATGAGAACACACTTAGTGTCTATTAAACTTGGAACTGCAGTCTGCTTATTCAATAACATTCAAACATTTGTCACAGCAAACCACATGATAACATCATTATGTAACATTCTGTAACATGTCCTCCTATTCAAACCAGCTTCTTTTATCCCACGGTGCAATGCTCTAAGGTACTCCCACAATGCAATGCTGCCCAGCACGTTGACCGGTTGCCATGGAAACAGCTGCGTATTATCAGGGTGAATCCAGGTCACGTTCCGCGGTAGGCAAGGTCAAGCCGTCAGTCACGGTTGCTCTGAAGCCTCCGACAGTTGCCAGACCTTTTTGTCTCCCCAAAGGATGACATAGGATGGATAATTGTGGAAGACGTTTGGATGGAGTAACAAAGTCCAACTGACAAGTTGAGTACAGTGATGACAACTTGTACAGAGGGAACGTGTGGTCAGTCGTAGGACAGGGGTGTCCAAGACAAGGTGAGGAAAGATTGGGAAACAGTAGGTCTTTTCTTCCTTAATTTGTCTCAAATGTTCTAACAATACATTACAGCTGAATTTCCCTTTGGACAGGCTCAGGTGATTACATAGTGACAACAGTCTTGTACAATATCTGTATTTTCAAAGAGCTTGAATTTTGTCAAGAAAGCTAAAAAAACAGCAAGAAAAAAAATAACAATAAAATGTCACGAGCTTGTTTTTGGTTTTCCTAAACAGCCTTTGCAAGGCTTCAGAAATTGAAACAGTTCTAGGATTTTTTCACATATTAACCACATAACAACTGACTGAAGTACATTATGAGGCAAGGAAACAGCAAGTGCACAAAAAGCTGCTTTTCAAACAAAACAGTAGGCAGAAACATGCAACAAGCATTAGTAAAAGGAGCCATTTTTATGGCAATCACCTGCACTTATAACATTTCATAATGACTGTAACATGTATTATCCTGTATGGCAATATAAAAGATTTTGTTTAAAGCTGTCAAGTTATCAATGCCATGCAAAACACTGGCCACATTTTCAAGACTTGTACAGACAGCCCATGCAAAACAATGCATCACATTGTTATACATGTACCAACAAGACTCAACAAGAAAACTCAAACATATTGGATGCAAACAGTAACATGTGGTAAGCATTTACCCTGGTGAGAATCAATGGCTTTCAGAGAGACCAGATATAGTCTCTGTATTTGCATTACATTAGTAATGGAAGCCAGTGTTAGCTGCAAGGAAATATACATGATTATTTACTGTATGTCGAATGGCTTCCATAGTTTTTCCTCCTGTTTATGGAGAAATAAATTTTTCAGCTGCTGACGGTCATGTATGAAACTGAAAATTGAAATGTCTCACACATGACAAAGTAATATGATATACAATAATGGAATTGTGTGTAAACAATCATAATTGTCAGCAGTATATGGTGTGGCACATAGCATATTAACGGGTTGAAGGGTGGGGTTTGGGATATTGATATTTATTAAGTCTGACAATTTTTTGCAATTGATTGTCATAACTTAATAATCAGAAGTATAAATAAATAAGAACATCAAACATACATTGAATTATGTGTTCATCATTAGATTAGACCCATTTTTGCCATAAGCATAAGCCTAAGCTAGAATTTGGGTCACATAACAATTGAAGGATGGGGTGTCAGGTGTCAAATGTTTTGATTAAGTCTGACAAGTGATTGTCACAACTTAATTGTTTGATATGGATGGAAATAGCTCATAAAAAACATCAAACATATTCAGTTTTCATCATTATAGATTAAACCCAGTTTTGCCATGATTAATGGCTATAATGAAAAGCTTGGATTTGGGTCATTAATCTATAATTGATAAGATTAATATTTGTTGCACAGGTTATTAATCTATAATTGATTAAGATTAATACTTGTTGTGCAGGTTTTTCTAGCTCTAACCGTGCATATTCCAGCACTACATTTTATCGCCCATGTTATTCACGCATTTATGGTGCAAATTATTGAGTGTTAGAATTTTAGCATCTTCTTAAAAGCAAAAATTCTTCACCATGTTACAAAAGCTGTTAGATTAGGTGTTAGATTATTGTTTTAGTGTCAAAATTATGCTGCAACATTGAAGCACATTGTAGCTTGCTGCAAAGATGCTTGAAGAAAAGTACTGTAGGTTTAGGACAGATTGAAGAATGGATTAACAGCAGATAAAGCACTATAATCAATTATTATAAAATATTGCAGAGCAATCGCAGAGCAAAGAAGGAAAACTAACACTATTTCAGAATATTGATAGAAAAAGATCAAAATCAAATAAAATTTGATAAGCAAACAAATCAGATAAGTTTGAAAAAAAAAATCTAGAGCCTGTATCATTGATTCTACCATGCGAAAATTCCAACAAAAAAGATTCAAAGATTAAAGAAGATCTAGATCAGGATTCGTAGTTTGAGTACGAAGGATGAACAACAAGTGTGAGACCAAACAATATGGAGGATCACAAAGACATGATCAGAAAGTTTTTACCTCCAAGCAGATATTGGGGTAGAAAATTATAACATTACCTGACTGGCACAGTTTCTGACAGTCTCCCACCCCAAGTGGTGGCTGTCAGAAAAGCTTAGCCAGTCAGAAAACATTTCAGTACTCTACCCTTAATTTCTGCTTGGAAATTATAGATAATAATAGAGGGATGATATAAAATCTAAGATGGATGACAGGTGTGGTAAAGAGACAGGAAGATGGAAGATTAGATAGAGGATTAGACTGAGGACTAGATTTAAGAGACAGGTGATCTTAAGAGATACAGGACTGGTCCAGAGACAAGACCAAAGGTCAAATTCAAAAGAGGGATGATCGTAAGACAGAGGGCAGATGTGGTGGAGACACAAGAAGATTTAAGATCAGATTGAAGATCATGTTTAAGACAACTACGATGATCTTAAGATTTAAGATTTAGGGAAGGATGATCTTAAGACAGAGGACAGGTGTGGTCGAGACACAAGAAGTGTTAAGATCAGATTTAAGAGAGGGATGATCTTAAGACATAGGACAGGTGTGGTGGAGAGACAAGAAGATTTGGCAAGAAGGAGGCCGAAGCAACCATGCTGTGATTTGGCGCTGACTTGGCTCTGCCCATCGAGGAGGGACCTTTACCTAATAATGACACACTGGTCCCGCTTGGCTCGCAGCATGTTGAAGTAGGCATTGTCGGCGATACTGAAGATGTGAGGGGGCAGCTCTCCTATCTTCTTGTTGGTGTACTGTTGGATCTGCTCGGCTGTGTAGATGGGGAGGACCTGATAGGGGTTTACAGCCACCAAGATGGACCCTGTGTATGTCTGGGTGAGTGAGAAAGAAGACATTAACAATTTGTGATGCTATACATAGACACACAGTGACAGGTAAATAAAATATAAAACATGGAGGGAAATTCGTCAAAAAACAGTTACTCAAGGCTCAAGCAACTGGATATGATTTTGGAAACAGTCAGACTTTTCAGAAAGCATCCACTACCTACTATTTGTCAGTGACACTAGAGAACTTACACATGCAGAAATGCAGGTTTGTAAGTAAGAACTATTGATTGATACGAAGTCCAAAAGGAAACAAAAGTTTGACAAGACAAGGATGATGCAAATTAGTCAAAAGCTCCTGTTGTTTCAGAACAGAAGCTTAAGTGTTGTCTTGTCCTTGACAAATCAGGATTAACAATTCTCAAACAAAATTCAAACTGTACTACTGGCTGGAACACTCACATATATCTGGTTTGCGTTGTATCTGACGAGCAGGTTCCTGAGTATGCCTGCCTCGTGCAGGTCTCCCAGTCGGATCATGTCCTCCACTCCCTCCACAGACGAGGGGTGCATGACCCGCAGCTTACTGGCACTGCTGGCCGGGATCCAGTGTTCCTGGGGAATACATATAAGATACACCATGTTAGGTTTTATTCCTGTCATACATTGTACCCACCCAAGAAAACATGCCTTTCAATACAAAAAGAGCCAAAATTTCCTGTACCTAAACCAAAAAATGCAACACATGAACCAAATCCGGAATTTTAATTTTTGAAAGCAGCTCAGACAAAATGCATTCAAATTCTATGGAACAGTTTAGAAGCCTGTGTGATAACTAAATAGAACCCCAGGGAAGAGAGACAAACTTGGACCACTTCAAGAAGGAAAGACTTCAAAAACATGCCTGAAACTGAATACAGACCCTACATATCTGCTTGGACTAAGTTGGAGGTTATTAGATAGGCAGGTCAGTCTGTACCACGTGAGTCCTACTAGCAGAGTGGGACACAAGGGTCTGACATGTGATGGATGTAATCTAGTTATACTGCCGTGGGCCTCGGGAAAATTAGATTTTACACGAGAGATGTACATGGTACAGACTTATTAATGTCACACTGTGCCATACTGACAAATTAGGTAGACAAATTTACAGTCTGGGGTTTTATCCCAATTTCTAACTACAACTGTCTGCAATAAAATATTGCCAACGTGGGGAAATTTTAGGGTAACAGTTAAAGAAATACTACTGTGACCATTATATTTTTTTAGTAAGTTACCATATTATGATAATTGCTGTATGAGCAATTACCTTACATGTAAGTCCAAAAGAATTTTCATTTGATATTAAAATGGGAAATAACCTCTTAACTTTTCAAAGAAATAACACCACTAAAATCTACTATCATCTTAAAAAACAATTTCTCCCTACTCCCTACATAATCAGGAAAACTGGTGCCAAATTGCTACCTTAGCATGCTGAACATATGTTTAACAAACATTACAAATTGTCTGAAATGAGACAAAAAATTAGACAAAAATTTTCATCTCCTTTAACACATAGCAGTTTTAATGCTAAATTAAAATAGAATAATTAAAACTAATTATCATACATGATGTTACAGTACTGTTAAATTTAATTGATATAACAAAGGCTTAACATAAATGTATACCTGAAATTTCAGCTGATGGAGACAATAGCGTCTACTACCGGTAGCTCAGTGACCCTAACGTAAGTACACTTAACCTTTCAAACACGTCGCCTTCGAAACTGAGTGTGATCGAATGGAAATTTCAGCTATCTCTTCTTTTTGTTGACTGAACGTTAAGCATTTATCATAATAATTGCTAACTAAAGTCAACTTTGTAAATATTGACTAATTCATAACACAAAGACTCAACAGCAGCTTGCATGCTAAGGCCACACCAATTTAATTTCTTGGTTAACGGATTCGCCCGCTTCATGTTTTTCTGATTTGCAAATAAAAATAAAAATTCAGAATCAACTGCAAAATGCTCATATTTTGCCCTGAACAGTTTAAAACAGTCCTTTTCATAATAGTTGTTACAATTATTCCATCTTTCAATGCAATGGTATCATTAAAAGTTCAAAATTCCTTGTTTAAATTTTGAACCAGCCTGGTGTGTTGACTTCATGGCTCCTATCGTACCATTTTGGGCCATAATAGGATGCCTAGGCCTGTTTTATTTTTTCGCCCGCCCGCTCCATTATTTTCCTAGAAAAATCCGTTAACCAAGAAATTGAATTGGTGTGGCCTTATACGAGAAGAAATTCAATTCCCTACCACCGACCAACTAATGAAGTTGTTTGAGAACTTATTTATCCTTCCTCTCGCGGTAACGTCTTAGGTCTTTAGTATTAAGACGCCGGTGATTCGAGAGGATCTGTTTCACATAACGGAGGGCTCATCAAGGATAAGTTGGTTGGCCTTACTTGTCACTTTCTCT